TTCTGCGTGGGATATATTTTTAGGTTTTAGAATTTAAGGATTTACAGATCTAGACCCGTGATCACGTCTCTAGCTAAGTTCCATTTAAATAATTTACAACAATACTTCATTTGAAACGAATGAATTGATCTTATTGAGATTAAGTTTAATATTGTTTTAATTCTGATTCTTACTAACAAAAACTAAAAATATAACTGATAAACAAAGTATACTAACAGGCTATGAGAGCCGCCAAGATCACCAAAAACTTCATTGTGAGGACAACGACCCAACTGATGATGATTCCAAATTAAAGGGGGCCGCTTATTTATTGCGATTTTTTATCGTTATAATTAATGATTAAACGAACTTAAAAAGTGAAGTTCTATCATAATTATGCGAGGGCTTTGTCCGAAGAGATTAGAAATAAGAACTATGTAGTATCACGTACGGTGATGCCAGTTTACGCACTGTTAGTTGAGGATATTTTTTTTTTTTTTTTTTTTGTGGGTATCTCAGTTTACATCCCATTTGACATTGGTATCCGTCGTCAGTTAGTTTGGAGTAGTAATTTGTATTTTTTATCATTTCACTAATATGGGGGTTTGTGTTTTTAATAATATACCTACATATGAGTATATGATTGTTAAAGACGGGTGGGAGGGTTTCTAATCTCTTCGGACAAAGCCCTCGCATAATTATGATAGAACTTCACTTTTTAAGTTCGTTTAATCATTAATTATGCTCGTGCTTTGTCCTCGAGATTAGAAANTAACAAAACCTCTGTTGTTCCTCTATTTAATTTGGGGTTTTCGCAGATTTGATAATAGGTACCTACAACATATCAAATCCGCAAAAACCCCAATAATTTGGTTTTTTTGTTTGATAACGGCCATTCTTCGTACAAGCATTGTTCAAATTTTGGTAGTATTGTCCGAAAGGAAGCTCGTGCTGTACATTAATAAAGTTATCTATTTTGTGGCAGGACTAATTCGAGTGGTGCCTGTTTTGCATTCGGCCTGTGATCACCGGCACTTTTCTCGAACCATCTATCGTTTTAACAAAGGAATAAATTACATTACTCGTATAATGATAACAAACTACGAGGATGACGCACCTGACGAGCACGTAATCGAAAGACAAGTGACCTATGACCAACATCAAGAATAAGGAATGGAGGCGGTACCAACAGACATGAAAGCTTGGGTCTACCGGCAACGCTCATATCATCAAAGGGGATGTCTCAAGATAAGACAAATCGACGCCACACACAAACAAACGGCGAAAATGAAGAAGAATATCTAATTCTAGAAGGTTCTTGAAGATTGGTGACTCATATTGCCTGCAGCTGACTGAACTGACTGAACTGACTAAAGCCTCTGCACGCACCGTTGGAATCATGAAATTGATATAATGACAATGGGCCGCTATGATTGTGAGCTTCAGCATTCACCTGTCAGAGTTTTCCCGCGTATGTGAAGAAACACTATCGATATGTTATTGTTCATTTGTTTTAACTAAGAGGTAAGTATACCTATGTGCTTTGATTTTTAGTTTCCATAAACAGAGTTGACGCTTTCAAAGAAAGAACATGGTAAAAGAATTAATTTTTATGTTATTATTTAAAACTTTATTACGCACAAATTAATAAGAGACAACCTTGTTAAAAATGTAAGTACAAACATAGTAGTTAGTTAGTCCCGTTAACCCCTCGCACTAAGCTAAAATGCTTGTGTGTGGGTTTACCACATAAGTTAAGTGGCGGCGGGGTTTGAACCATCCTTAGATCGGATTTGGCCAGTTCGACTATCGTCGCTTCAGTTCATCATTAATTTAACGATCCTAAATCATTATGTATTTAGGTTTTTCCAACTGGACAAGGGAGTTTGTACCAGTTGCACCCTATACTTACCTACTAATCTGACGTAGTACTTCTACGTTAATATTTTACATAACAATCCTAATCGTTATTACTTCATATCGTTTCATTCATAAGCTGTTTAAAATGATTTGTTATCAAACTAGGCATTACATTTTATCACCAAATTCATATAACAAAGTCCCACGCCGAGTCTGTCTGTCAGTTCACGATGAATCCAAAAGCTACATACTTAATGGATTTCCATGCGTTTTTCACTAATAGAGAGAGTGGTTCATGTGGAAGATTTGATAAATTAATTTATTATAGGTAAGTTATTTCGTAAGGAGAAATCCAGCATATTTTTATCCCGGTGTTTGAGCGATAGAGTATTTCTGTGACAGAACATTCGCGCGAGCGAAGCCACTTGCAAAATGTAGTATTAGGTAAATACCTCCTGGCCTATCAGTCTAACGCCTGATTTTATCATGTGCCTAACACCTAATCTAGTAATCACAGAAAAGCACTTATTTGCAATCAGATTTATTTTATTATGTAGGTACTAAAGTTCTCCAAAATAAGATACAACTAATACTGATAAAATAAGTTGATTTTGAACTAATATTGATAAACTTCGAATATGCTGTGGTTAGAAGACAATGGAAAGTTTAATTTAGTTAATTTGAAATCAAGAATCATAAATTCATCATAATCATACCTGATTATTTTTATTAACTTACTCGTACTTATTTATTGTGATCATCATTATCATCCAGCTTCCTAACATGTACAATCGACGACATATAATATTTGAATTTGAATTTTGCACAGAGTGGAATTTTGTAATGCCACCTGGAGGGAAAATACTCTTAATACTGTAGATAGAAAATTTTACTCAAAGGAAACATTCCTTTATTTTTTTAAAGAAATAGAACTGCATTCAAAGATTTTCAAAAATTTGCTTGCCATACCCAGGAATCAAACCAACTAAAATCTGTTAAAAATTACACCCTGTATTTTTATTGCATCGATCGTTAGGGTGAGGTATAAGGATGAAATCTCTCTAACAAACTTGATTAATCAAGTGAAAGGAAAACCATGAAATCTTACATTATTTTAACTATTTACAGAAAATTGTTTGGCATGGTAGAGAATTTTAGAGAAAATTTCGGAAATCTTTGAATGCAGTTCTATTTCTTTTCAAAAATAAAGGAATGTTTTTTTTGAGTAGAATTTTCTATCTACATTATTAAGAGTACTTTTCCTCCAGGTGGCATTACAAAATTCCACCCTGTATGTATTTCACCGATTGAGAATTTCTTATTATGTTTAATAGCAATTAAACCTCTTAAGAGGTAAATTTGTGTCAATGTCAAGTGGTAATTGATATTAAACTCGAACAATAGAACATAGGTGTTTTAGTTGTATTGTTGTTTCATTTAATTCATGGATTCCGTAGAGACAATGTACTGTATTCCCGTAAGCCGTTGTCATCTGGTTCAAAGCGAGTTGTTGACAGGACAACCCGCTTGAAACTTAATGAGCACTCAAATTCAAAGTTCGTTCGTTTCAGCCGAAAGACGTCCACTGCTGGATAATGGCCTCCCCCAAGAGTTTGAAAAAAGACCGGTCCTCCGCCGCCCGCATCCAGGCACCTCCCGCGTTTTCACCAGATTCGATCACGCAGAGAAACTCCGAGCATAGAACGCTCCATCGCTCCATCAAATTCAAAGTGTTTCAATGTTTTTACAAAATCACTTCATTTCACTTTCCATACTAAAGATCAGTAAAATAAAAGCAATAAAATTAAAAGCCTCAAAACAGATCTACTATGCTTTCCAATCAACTACTCAATCCATAGCACCTTTTATAATTTCTTGATGTTCAGTGGTCATCTTACAGAAATCCGACTACTTTTCGAAAAGGATAGTGCCAGGGTCTGGACCAAGTGCTGCCCAGAATCAACCCATAGTGCATTTTGTTCCTCAGACCAATACTAATGTGTAAACCGAAGCGCACTGCAATCTATCCCTGGAGTTAAGAGAAAAAAAGAGTTTTGTTTTGAAATATTTACATACAAAATATCATCGATGTATACGTACTACGCATAAGATTTCGCGATTTTGGCATTAAATAACACTCGCTATGTTGAACTTAACCATACTGCATCCGTACACCTTACTTTAGTGCGACTTAGACATTCTTTATAAGCGATCTAGCGCTGTTGCAATAGTTTGGTTACTTGACAGAAATCATTATTTCCAAAATGAATCAAGAAGTTTTAGTTCTCTATCCTTGCGAAAAATCAATTTATTGGTGTATTACAATCGATTATTGAAGTTATTGTAAGCTAAAACTTCTTGCTCTATTTTGGAAATAATTAATTTCGGTCAACTAACCAAACTACTGCAACAGCGCTTGATCGCTTATAAATAATGTCGAAGTCGTACTAAAGTAAGGTGTATGGATGCAGTATGGTTAAGTTCAACATAACGAGTGTTATTTAATGCCAAAATCGCGAAATCTTATGCGTAGTAGGTATACATCGATGATATTTTGTATGTAAATAATTTCAAACAAAACTCTTTTTTTCTCTTAACTCCAGGGATAGATTTCAGTGCGCTCCGGTTTACAAATTAGTATTGGCCTGAGGAACAAAATGCACTATAGTTTCATTCTGGGCAGCACTTGGTCCAACTTCCATACATGGATTGGCACTGTCCTTTAACCATTTGCAACCAACATTGCTGCCTTGACTAGTAAGTGTTCAGTCCACTTCAACATAAGAGTGATAATTTTGATGTACAATTATAACTTTTACTAGCTTTACGTCCGCGGCTTCGCCCGCGTGGAATTTTGTCTGTCTCAGAAAAACTTTATCGCGCGCGTCCCTGTTTCAAAAACCGGATAAAAACTATCCTATGTCCTTTCCCGGGACTCAAACTATCTCTATGCCAAATTTCATCAAAATCGCTTCAGTGGTTTAGGCGTGAAAGCGAGACAGACTGAATTACTTTCGCATTTATAATATTAGTATAGAGTATAGAATTAAGGCGACATTATTACCTAAGTCGTTATTTAATTCTTTGTTTGAAGTAACTAAGTTAACCCATTAGCGGATTTTGATAAAATATTAGGTAGTTACTAATCAAATAAAATTAAGTTTATTTTTAAGATTCGTTTATTTTACAGCTAGTCCATTTAAAAAGGATAGTTAGAGACAGTGTTCACTCTGAAGATACCGCTTCTGCAACAAAAGAATATACTTTATTTAGTAACCTATAAAACCAATGAAATTGATGTTTTTGCTGAGAATTTAACGAAAGTTCATTTTACCTAAAAAAATTCGATAAGAAACCACAATGTAAATTTTATAAAATTTGTGAGTTTGATTAAACTTAAGCCTTGGAAAACTATGTTACCCATATTTCCTACTAAAGATAACTTGAAAATAAAGACGAGTACATACCCAGATTTTGTTAAGATGGAGTTGCCCATATTGAGGACGGCACCAGCGCACTGGTTGTTGGAAGCCTGGTTCAAGTTGGAGCATTGACGTCCAGCCAAGTGATTGTAGCGGATAGTAGCGGCGAAGAACTGGTAGGCGCGGCTGTGAGAGCAGGTGCTGATAAAGCAGCCAGGCTGAGGGTTTCTGCCACCGTTGGGGTAGTAGTCAACATCGGCAACACGGTCGAAGATACCCAGCAATCCGCCGTCGGTATGGATAGCCTCAACGAAAACACCGGCTGAAGGGCTTAGGGCGTTTGAGTTGCCACCCCATAGAGGGCCAGCTGGGTCCAAACCTAGAAAACAAAAAAAAACAATTAAGATCAATAAGAAAATAACAACATTATTCATTACATTTTGAAAAAAAATTTTATAGACTTTCTTTTTACTACAAGGCAGGTATTTGACCGCAATCGCACCTGGTGTAAAGTGAGATGCAACTCTTCATTAATTCGACTTAAATACAGCTAAACTAAATGCCTTGTCTAATTTTGACTTATTTTCCAAAAAAAATTACAAAACATACCAGTTACACGTCTTGGGCGACCACCAGCTTGACGACCAGCGCTGCCGACGATGTGAGCGCCCAAGCTGAAACCGACCAGATGCAAGTTGTTCCAGTTGCCACCAGCATTGTTGAACAGCCAGATCAAGAAGTTGCCCAAGAACTGGCCAACGCCGGGCACACCGACGACAGCGGTAACGTAGTTGGAGTTAGCCAAACTGCGCCAGTCCACAACGATGACGTTGCAGTCCTGAACATCAAGGAAGGCGTTTCTGATGGTGGGGTTGATGGCAGAGTAGCCATTGCTGTTCCAGCCGTGGACGATGACTTTGGTGGGGCGGCTGGCAACGTAGTTGGAGTTCCAAACTGAGTTGATGTTTCCATTCACAAGAACCTGGGGGTTGTTGCGGTTTTGCCTGAAAACAAATCATATGAAGAATGTATACTCAGAAATAGAGATCGTAACAATCGTAGCAAATTTTAACATTTTGAAAATTCTCGATCCCTAAATTTCTTCAGACCTTCGTCAAGAAAATTTTACAACACATACCTGGTGAAAAGCCAATACTGATTGTTGGCTCCATTCCTGCTGTTAAGAACAGATTGGTCAACTGGCTCTTCCAAATCGACTAGATGAGGCATACCGTCCCCATCAGCCATCCATATGTAGCGGCTTACACCCTCCACATAGTCGCTGTTGTCCCCAGGGATTTGGGGAACCGCGCCAGCGGCGCTAACTAAAATAAAATAAAAATATTAGCACATGTACCTGATGAATGAAAAGACAAAAATTGTACACAAGGTATACTGACAAGCGATCAATGAGGCGAGCACCGCGAAGAACATCCTGATGGGTTCAGGTATGGTGGTTCAATTGTTATTGTGCATTTATATTCATAAATGTTATCAATACTTTATCAGATAACCGATTACAAATATACATACAGGGTGGAATTTTGTAATGCCACCTGGAGGGAAAGTACCCTTAATACTGTAGAGACAATTTTACGAAAATTTACCACCATACCATACAATTTTTACAATTTTGTGTTAATAAATTACATTAATTTAAGATTTAATGGTTTTCCTTTCATTTGATTTATCAAGTTTGTTTGAGAGATTTCATCCTTATACTTAATCCTAACGATCGATGCTATAAAAATACAGGGTGTATTTTTTTTACATATTTTTTAGTGGGTTCATTTTCCGAGTGTAGCAAGCAAATTATTGGAAATCTTTGTATGCAGTTCTATTTCTTTAAAACAATAAAGGAATGTTTTCTTTGAGTAAAATTTTCTATCTACAGTATTAAGAGTACTTGCCCTTCAGGTGGCATTACAAAATTCCACCCTTTAGTTAAACTGATACTACGCATAAATCTACTGACGCTATACTTTACGCGATCTAAAATTTCACCAGGTTTAAGCATGTTTAAAAACTTAATGTAAATAATTCCTTTGTAAAGATTTTAGCATCATCATTTTATTTTAACATCCTGTATCGTTTTTGTAATGAAATTTTCTACAACGTTGATTAAAAAAGTTGGAAAAGATTAACTTAAAATTGATTATTATCGAATATGTACGAGTATTATTAGGTACTAATTCCGATATTGTGTGATCATTGTGCATTCATTGTGCGCAATATAATACGCAGTATAGTACTTTACAGACATAGTGATTGTCATGGGGGACCTAAATGCTAAAGTTGGAAACTATAACACAAACTGCGAGCGTCATATGGGTACACAGGGACTTGGAGCACGTAATGAGAACGGAGAACGGTTTATAGAGTTTTGCCAGCACCACGACCTGACCATCGGTGGTACATTATTTATCCATAAAGATATCCACAAGCACACATGGATTTCACCCGATGGCATCACCAAAAACCAAATCGACCACCTTGCGATCAGTTCCAAATGGCGATCGTCGTTGCTCGATGTCCGAAACCGAAGAGGTGCTGATATCGACAGCGACCATTACATGGTTGCTGCGCCTCAAGGTAGCGGTAGCACGACCGGCTGGGGGACCGGACAGGATTGGGAGAAGGTTCGACGTGACTAAGTTCAGAGACCCTGACACCTGCACCAAGTTCAGGCTCGAACTTCGAAACCGTTTATCCGCCCTNCCGGTAGATTACTTTGCGAATTTAAACACCCGAACGCCGCACAATATTACTTTTTCTTTATGTCCATTTTTAAATAATACTTCGATCATAGAATTATAATCATACTACAACGCACGCCAGCGTCCTGACGGGCGCGCGCGTGACACTCGACTGATATAATACCCGCCGCGGGCCGGCGGGGCGCTTCGCTGTAGGTAATTATCGGATGTACCGCGCGGAGTGAGCCAGGCCTGCTTATAGCAAACTTTTAATTCGCAAATGCCGTTTTTGGTATATTGTTGTTTAGCAAATTATTGTTTGGCAAAGTACGTTTTGGCAAATGTTTCATTTGGCAAAAATATTTCACGATACACTAGGGGAGACCTAGGAGAGTTGTGAAAATTTTTACTTTAGGGGCCATATCTCGCTCAAAAATCATTCCACAGCTATGAATCATACAAATTAATGTAGCGCCGTTCCTTCTGTTTTCAAAACAATAACCAAATTTAACTAAAGTGTAAGGGTTTCTGAGAAAATCAACAAAATCTAAGAGAACTCCCTCTGTCACAACTCACCTAGCACCGAGGTAAGTTGTGACAGGTACCGAGGTGAGTTGTGACAGCATTGTATTTCATCTATTAGATATAAAAATACCATAACACTCCATCAAATATGTTTTTTTAGCAATAAAGTACTTTAATCATCATTTAGTAACAATTAAATCAAATAGTTATAGGATGTCGTTACACAGATTGAGCCACATTTCTCCAGCTTTTATTTTTCTCCCACGACACTGGAGTTTTTCAATTATATTTTTGGGCTAATATTATAGTCACATAATATATTTTCTTTTTCTTCTGTAAAAATAAAATAGTCCATAGACGGACTTCGCCTTCTGGGTTTACTTGATATGCTTCTTTCTTCTTAATATATCTTGACAAGTTTAGATTGTAACAGCATATCTTAAACTTTAACCATTTTTAACCTAATCACTTCATAAGCCAGGTTCTATATTTCGACTCCAGCAAGCAGTTCCTCTATATGGCATTCATGTATAGTTATTAGGCATTCAGAATCAAAAAAGTAGCAGCAGGCAATTACACAAATTATGAACCTACTAACACACAAAAAAAACCATCTAAGAACATCGTGGAAATGGCCCATCAGAAAAATTAAGTAAGCTAGGAGAGTTGTGACAGGCTGTCACAACTCTCCTAGGTGTTTAAAATGACGACTTGGTTCGAATAATAATTTTTATTTTCTAAACACGATGCGCACACAAAATATCAGTCCTACATTTTGAGACCTGACTAACCATGCAACTTGAGAAAAAATAACGCAACAGTGCACATATACTAAAACATGATATAAATTGAAATAAAATTTTAACGTAAAACTTACTTTTCGCATTTTTTTGTACATATGACGTATATTTACGTAACCGTGCCTCTAGCACCGCCCGAAGGTACTTAGTCAAGAAGAGCGTCTTAAAAGCGACAAACAAGCGTTTTTTTCCAGCTTCCTAACTATATTAAGTAAGGAGAAATCGTCCTTGTCACAACTCACCTCTGTCACAACTCTCCTAGGTCTCCCCTATTTACAAAATAATTTGATTGGTGCATAGAATGGAATACAAATTAACTTGTGGTTATTATTTTTTTAGTGGGTAGTTAATATAAAATTTGTTCTAAATTAATTTTCATATTTCATTCTTTTTATCGAAATTTCCAAATGATTCATTAACAATAGAGGTGATTCTAGCGCTCGGCGGCCACTGCCGCGGCACCAGTGGCGGCGTAGCATGGGGGGGCACCCGGGGCGATCATCCCCCCCCCCCCCCGTCATAAGTCCTAAGGCACCCCCTGGTACCCCTCAGGATTTTGGTTTCTTACCGATTNGATTAAAACCAAAATCAGCTCAATCGGCCCAGCCGTTCTCGAGTTTTAATCAGACTAACGAACAGCAATTCATTTTTATTTATATAGATTACGTATATCTCTGACAGAGATATACCGTATCCATAATAATTTTGTTAAAGTTAGCTTTTTATAATACTGATATCATGAATATTACCAGTGACTCTCGAGGGTCTGCCACCAGCCTGGCGACCAGCATTGCCGACGGCGTGAGCGCCCAAGCTGAAGCCGACCAAGTGCACGTTGTTCCAGTTGCCTCCGGCGTTGTTGATCAGCCAAACGAGGAAGTTGCCTAGATGTTGTCCAACGCTGGGGACTCCAGACATGGCGGTGGTGTAGCCCTCGTTAGCGAGCATTCCCCAGTCGACCACAATGACGTTGACGTCAGCCACAGCGAGGAAGGCATCCCTGATGAGAGGGTTCATCCGATGATTGCCGTCGCTGTTCCAGCCGTGCACGATGACTGCCAATCCACGAGTGTTACGGTAGTTGGAATTCCATACACTGTTAATGTTATTGTGGACCAGCACTTGCCTGCTAGTAGGGTTCTGCCTGTGCAACAAAAAAGTTATGACTTGAATTTTTTACAAATGTTTGTAACAAAATTTTGTGTTAGCTCATTTACGCCCGTATTCACGAACGATACTTGCTTAAGTTAAGCAGCAAATCGAACGCACAGCGTTAAATAGAGTTATGTGATTGGTTTGTCGTGTGTCATCTTGTGCGTCCTTGCTAGGGTTCCCAAGCCCAACCCTCCCGGATTGCCCGGGAGACTCCGGAAATAATGGTTAACCTCCCGACCTACCGGAGAACAATATTTTCTCCGGTATTTCTAAAAATTAAATGCATCCATTGCTGCTCGTACTTGTTTATAAAGGACATCATCCACGTTTCATATATTTTTGGTCCAAAATCAAAAGTGCCGGCCAACAAAAAAAAGTGCTGTATTCTGACAGAATACGTATGCCTTAGCATTTGTTACTATGGCACCAAAGCCGTAGCTCCACTGTGCGTCGAGTATTTGAGATCTAAAAGTCATCGACTATTCATACATTTTTTGTTCAAAATCAAAAGTGTCGGCCAATAAAAAAAAAAGTGTTGTATTCTGACAGAATACGTCCGCCTTAGCATTTGTTACTATGGCACCAAAGCTGTAGCACCACTGTGCGTCGAGTATTTGAGATCTAAAATTCATCGACGATTCATACATTTTTTGTTCAAAATCAAAAATATTGGCCGATAAAAAAAAAGTGCTGTATTCTGACAGAATACGTCCGCCTAAGCATTTGTTACTATGACACCAAAGCTGTAGCACCACTGTNTTCGAAGATTGAAAGATAATCGCACCCCTCCGTATCATGACATAGACCGCAGATTTGCCATGCAGATGTGCCAGTGAGTACTAATCTTCGCGACTTTTGTCACCCCCTGATGCTTGGCACCCGGGGCGGACCGCCCCCACCGCCCCCCCCCCCCTTACGCCGCTACTGCGCGGCACGCTTCGCTCGCCTTCGCGCGTTAAGGGTCACTGTTCTAACCTAACCTAACCTAACCTAACCTACTATTTTATGCAATACCTACTTTCTGCAACTATACTGTTTTCTGGAATCTCTTTGTTTTACATAAAATTCTTGTGAAAACCATGATCATCTGCCTTATGGTTTGATTTGTGGGTAACGGTGGGTGAAGTATGTGAAGTGCAATTTGACCAAACAAATTATTAGGGATACAATATTTGGCAAAATAAAACATTTGCTATATAAACATTTGCCAAGTAATATTTGGCCAAATGATAATTTGACCAAATGAATTAGTTGCGAAAAGTACAGTTGCTAAAAGTTCATTTGGAAAATGAAACTTTGGCGATAAGTTGTTTGCGAAGTGAAATTTGGCGAAAAGTAATTTGGCCAAACGGAAGGATACCATTCAGATGAGCTTAATTATCAATAGTAAGTAAGTAGATTACTTACATATTTTGAAAATATGTAAGTGAGACGGCTGTACCACGGTAATACAGTGTGAGTCACGTTAAAGTGTATATATGAAAATAGATGAAACTAGACCTATTTTTATCGACAAAAAAGTAATGAAAAAATTTTTGAGATTTTTTTTGAATTTTTTATAGATTTTTTTTTCTTCCAATTACTTATTGTAAAGAAAACGTAATAACTTTTAAACTAAGCGGTATATCCTGATAAAATAAAAACAGTAATAATGCTAAATAACAGGCGATACTAAAAAAATACATAAAATATACAAAAAAGGCCAACAAATAATTAAAAAAGATACTTTTTGAAAAAAATCTGCTTTTAAATTCGCGTTTTTTTGGTTATTTGATAAATTTCTCCAAAAAATGCCCCTATAACAGGTGGTTTTTATTACTTTGTATTATTTTCTATCGTATTATCTTTGTAAAACCAAAAATTGCATGTCTCTATCCCTATCACAACATTTGTTATGATCGTTTGAACAAAGGCCTGCCACAACATTATTCTCCGCTACAGGTAGAGACAATTTTAATTTTAACTGAAATGCTTATTTTACTTCGAAATCTTTTGTTTTTATTTGAAATCTAACTTGTCTTTATCAAAATTACAAATCTAGAGTCATTTTCAGTTTCGTTGTTAACGAATCGTTGAATGGCGCGCCCGGAGAGGCTTAGTTCAAACGATCATTGCACAAGTTGTGATAGGGATAGAGACATGCGATTATTGGCTTTACGAAGGTAATACGATAGAAAATAATACAAAGTAATAAAAACCACCGGTTATAGGGGCATTTTTTGGAGAAATTTATCAAATAACCAAAAAGACACGAATTTAAAAGCAATTTTTTTTTCAAAAAGTATAATTTTTTATTATTTGTTGGCCTTTTTTGTGTATTTCATGTAATTTTTTTGTATTGCCTGTTATTTAGCATTATTACTGTTTTTATTTTATCAGGATATACCGCTTTGTTTAAAAGTTATTACGTTTTCTTTACAATAAGTAATTGGAAGAAAAAAAATTATATAAAAAATTAAAAATAAAATCTCAAAATTTTTTTTACGTCTTTTTTGTCGATAAAAATAGGTCTAGTTTCATCTATTTTCATATGTACACTTTAACGTGACTCACACTGTATAGTATTTTTGATACCCCATGCGAAATTTTTCTATGATAAAATTCTGAACTTTTCTTTAGAAACAGTTGTCAAATGTACTATAATTTCTCATAGGCTTATGTTGTCTCATTCTATTCGATAATTGTTATAAAATTAATTTTCTGTTTACACGACTAAGGTTAAGTTTAATTATCATCATTTTAGCCACAGGGCGTTTACTGCTGAACACAGGCCTCCCCCAACAATTTCCATATTGACCGGTGGGTAGCAGCATGCATCCAGCGTCTTCCTTTTACCTCTATGAGGGCGGCAGTCCACCTTGTGGGTGGACGACTCACGCTGCGCTTTCTGGTACGTGCCCTCCATTGAGTTACCTTTAATAATTATCAAAAAATAATTAATCTTTGAATATTTTACCAAGCGTTTTACGTTTTACTAACAACTCAGTAACCTGCGTAGTAATTTGCCTACCTATTTTTTTTACCTATATGATGGTAATCGCAGTAATTACTAAATAATCAGGAATTAAGCTCCAACGTCACTTTATTTAATTTAATAAATTCATTATTCAATAAAAATTAAGTCTAGATTGAAGATTGATAAATGAAAACAAACATTTTAAATCTTTGATTGCACAAATTAAAGTGACGTTTATATCTTTTATCGCTATAATTTATTTCCTATTGCGGCTGCGCACAATCTACGAACACACTACGAATTATTATACTATATATTTTTGTACCAAAATAGACCCTATTACAGCCACTTAAAATGCCACAGTATTTATCTTAATGTGCTGTTGTCCGTATTAAGTAAAAAAACATATAGATATTAAGTCAGATAACTGCTTGTGTTTAGCTTATTTACGCTTCAAAATTTATTTACAAAGACGCAATAGTCTAGTGGAGAGAATGAGGGTCAATTTCGATAGTTCCAGATTAAGTTTCAGATTCATATCTAATAATAGCTTGTGCCCGCATTAATTTCGCTCAGTCAAAAAAAGTTGCTTCCTTGCGTTATTAAATAGCGTATAAATAGGCTATAAATATCACAAATAATACGGTTTTCTATGGTAAAATAATTTTCAAAATACTACACCTCACAACAAGCTATAATCTTCTTAATATAACTTAGTATAGATTATTGCTATCTAGCTAATAAATGTTGTTGATTATTATAAATCAGAATCAGATAAACTTAAACTATTTGTCTGACTGTCTCGGAAAGACTGTCTTTCAGTCAAACAGTTCATTTTTTAAATAAAGTTATCATGGACTTTCTTAGTAAGTTGAAAATTCTAGGAATTTATTGTACTCGACTTCATTTTCCCAGTGAAAATAATAACACAAAAATTACAAACAAAGTGAGGATGGATAAGTAAAAGTTGTAAATTGTTTAAGATTCATTTTATTCATAGCTACTCGATTGTCCGTTTAGAAAGGATAGTTCGCGCCAGTGTTAACCCTGAAGATACCATTTCTGAAACAAAGAAAGTATTTATTAATACGAGTATTTCCTAACGAAATCGACAAATAAAAAAGTCGTCATTGTTACGTTTAACTTTTCTGTCATCTTATTTATCATCAAATTCATCAATCATGATTTACTATTATGTATAATCCGAGACAATGACATTTAAAAATTGTGGTACAAAACAGAACTCATTTCTAGTTGTTGGCAATATTCCAAAACTAATTTAATAGTACATACCCGGATTTTGTCAAGATGCCGTTGCCCATATTGAGGACCGAGCCAGTGCACTGGTTGTTGGAAGCCTGATTCAAGTTGGAGCATTGACGTCCAGCGAAGCGGTTGTGGCGGACGCTAGCTGCAAAGAGCTGGTAGGCACGGCTGTGAGAGCAGGTGCTGATCCAGCAGCCAGGCTGAGGGTTTCTGCCACCGTTGGGGTAGTAGTCGACGTTAGCAACACGGTCGAAGATACCCAGCAAACCACCGTCAGTGTGGATGGCCTCGACGAACACGCCAGCTGAGGGGTTCAGGGCGTTTGAGTTTCCACTCCATGAGGGACCAGCAGGGTCCAAACCTAAGAAAAAGAGCAGAATTATTGATTGAGAAAAGAGCCCCTGATAGATTTAGAGAATTAACTTATTGTTAAATGAGTTGCAAGAATGTCACAAAACCTACCAGTAATACGTCTTGGGCGACCACCAGCTTGACGACCAGCGTTACCGACGATGTGAGCGCCCAAACTGAAACCGACCAGATGCAAGTTGTTCCAGTTGCCACCAGCATTGTTGAACAGCCAGATCAGGAAGTTGCCCAAGAACTGCCCAACGCTGGGTACACCAGCGACAGCGGTAAGGTAGTTGGAGTTGGCCAAATTGCGCCAGTCCACAACAATGACGTTGCAGTCCTGAACATCAAGGAAGGCGTTTCTGATGGTGGGGTTGATGGCAGAGTAGCCGTTGCTATTCCAGCCGTGGACAATGACCTTGGTGGGGCGGCTGGCTACGTAGTTAGAGTTCCTAACTGAGTTGATGTTGCCATTCACCAGAACCTGGGCGTTGTTGCGGTTTTGCCTGAAAAGAAACATGACTTTATAGTTGGAATAAAGTAAGTGGTCCCTTTTAGCTATTCAACTGGTTTTGAAATACCTTATAACATAGAACTATTAACAACACATACCTGGTGAATAGCCAATACTGGTTGTTGGCTCCATTTCTGCTTTTAAGAACAGATTGGTCGACTGGCTCCTGCAGATCGACTAGGCGAGGAACATCGTCCCCATCAGGCATCCATACGTAGCGGCTTACGCCCTCCACATAGTCGCTGTTGTCCCCAGGGACCTGAGGAATCGCGCCAGCAGCGCTATCTAAAAAAAGGCAAAAAATATTAACACCGTATTTTGTTTAAGATATAAAAGTTAAAAGTAATTAAATAATATAATACTAACAAGCGATCAATGAGGCGAGCACCACGAAGAACATCATGATGGGTTAGGATATGATAGTTTAAATCATTACTGTTCATTTATATTCATATGTTATCAATACTTAACCAGATAATCGAATAAATTATATAGGGTGTCTCGTAATAAAAAAAGAGTTTGATCGCCCATAGAATATTTTTTTTTTTATGTGATAGGAGGCAAACGAGCAGACGGATCACCTGATGGTAAGTGATTACCGTCGCCCATAGACACCCGCAGACCCAGGGGCGTTACAGGTGCGTTGCCGGCCTTTAAGGTAAAGATACGCTCTTCTCTTGAAAGCTTGCAGGTCGTATCCGTCCGGAAACACCGCAGACGACAGTCCATTCCACAGTTTGGTTGTACGGGGTTATTAGAGAGAATGAATAAATCTTGGTGTATTATTATTGTAATGTTACCTACATAATTATAACTTGTAACACTCAAAGATTGCATTGAAATTTGTTATTAAATTAATAAAAATTGGCCAAGTGCGTGTCGTGCCACGCGCAGTGTAGGGTTCCGCAGTTGTCAGTCGTTAACACAATATATTTCAGAAACAAGCAATTACTTCATCTTAAGTCACTCTTAATATTTTCTTATAAGCATTTTTTACTATTTAAGTAATTTTATAATGCATGAGTTAATTGACCATTACTCTTAAACTAACTAATGTATCTTAACCATTATAGTTTTCCTGGAAAGTTCATAAAAAGCAGTATTATTACAAATTTTTCAGATTTTTCAAGCCAACAGTTTAATTTTTAGAGGGGGGCCCTACTCGAACAAAAATTGGCACTTTAAACTTTAATAATTTGCAACCAGATCTCTAAATGGAAAAATAGTCTTAGAAACCCCTAAGCCATATTTTAAACGATACCCCACACGATGGAGTAGAAGATGAAAAAAAAATTATCCCCACTTTACATGTAGGAGAGCTACACTAATTTATTTTTTTTTAATTTTATTTTACCGTTTTGTCGGCGTGATTAATATACATACCTCCACAAAATTACAGCTCTCTAGGTGCCAATAGTTTCCAAGCAAAACCTCGGATAGACAGACAGACATATCGAAACTATAAGGGTTCCTTGTCAGGACTACGGAACCCTAAAAAAGTGGTATAACATCCATAACCAAGTGATGAATAGTCATAAAAGTAATGAAAGACCTATAACTTGAGTTGTTTATTCCGCAGTGGCTAAACACATAATGCCTCGATAAAACTCCCCACCACTACTCGCACAGATTACATTAAAGTTGCTAACCCACGATAATGTCAATAATTGAAAACAGTATAAAAATTGGCCTTTTTTCTTTTTTCCAGGCTGACTTAATTACAATTAAGTGTTTGACATACGTTTCCCAACATCAAAATTACTTTTTTTTTAACGATAAATACTGTGACGTCACTATTTTGTCAACTCAATTGATTTTTTTTTTTTTAAATTTACCATTCAACCAAAAATTTTAATTTACAGGTAATTTAAAATTAGTTAAGTTTTTAAGACCAGAATGAAGTGCCTTTTTAAAAAATGGCTGTGACATACGGACGGACAGACAGACAGACATGACGAATCTATAAGGGTTCCGTTTTTTGCCATTTGGCTACGGAACCCTAAAAAGTTGTGCTTTAGAATTATTGGGGAGTGGTGGCAAATACCCAATTGGTAACCTTCTTGTTTTCTCTCATCATAAAATTATAAGTTGCTCCCTATTGGTTTAATTATCTAAGGTTGCACCCGAATATTATGATTATTTAATTAAAAAGTTGAAGGAGAATTAAAAAATATAATTCGAAATAGGAATACGATGCATCCTCTTTTGATAAAAAAAATCTTATTTATTCACCTTAGTTTTGGCGCCAAATATTAATAAGTTTACATTACTATTCATTGGGCCACCCTGTAAGCATAGAACTATTATAAATTAATCGTTGAATACAATCATGAACGTCATCGAACGTGTAAAATAAATGTCACAGATAAAGTTAAAAAAAAACAGCAGTCAGTAATCCTACACATGTCACTTTGTATTATATTTTCCATTCAGTTAATACAATCACAACAAAACAAAATCTAGATTCAACTTTGATAATGCAAACAAACATTTTAAATCGCTGATTGCACACTTGTATTAGTGACTTTTCAAATTTCTTATCGATAATACATAATAATTATTTGCTATTTCGTCTACGAACACATAAAATCGTAGGTATTTATTATGGTACCTAAAAACTATTTCACGGCAAACTTGTACTGTGTGCTATGTGTGATTTTTGATGAAGCTTTTCGAGCTGCGTCATAAATGTCAGACAGACTTTACGTCAGACACATTGTCATCAGTCAACGGTCTGATAGGCCTGAAAACCGTTGGTCCATTCAGATGCAAAATATCTCATTTTTACTGTAGGGATAAGTTGCTGAATATTTTTTATTCAGATAATTATTTTCCGAATGGACCAAAACAACGTTACTTATCCAAAGAGTCAGAGAGTTTTGAAATCTAACCAAAGAGTTAAAATTATCTTTCATCTACTAATTATAAAGACTGTAGGAAACATTTTTGATTATGTAAGAATAACAAAAAAAAACAAACAAAATAATCTAATTTTTTTTTATCATTACTTAGCTACAAATCACCTGATTTTAATATTCCGTATTAAAAAACAAGAGCTATGATTCTATCATTAAATTGTAGGTAATTAAGAGTTGCATAGCTCATTACTTATTTTTTTATCAAATTGATGAATATCTTTCCAATTTGTCGTACGATGCCAGAGCAACTCGATAAGGGCGTGTCAAAAATAACTGCTAGTGACGTTGTTATATGCACACGTGTAACATAATATTTGTACATAGTAACAAGTCCAGTGTTACATAGTGGAGTTTTGACACGTCGATTGTCGAGCTACAAAGCTGGATTTCATTAGATGTCCATTATTTACATAAACAGGAGGCTGCACAAGCCGGCCACACCTACCACTTGAAAACCTTTTCCTAGTTTTCGCTTTCAATCAAATACCTATCGTTCTCTTTCGTCCAGAGACAAAGGCCTCCTCCATGGATTTCCACAATAACTGATCCTGCGCTGCCCTCAATCATTATGCTTTCCACCTTCACCAGATCGTCGATCGATCGTTAAAACGAGTGGAAGGCCAGAAGGCCTGCCTACACTAAGTTTTCCGGTCCGTGGTCGCCACTCAAGAACTTTTCAACCAAAATGGCCATCAGTTCTACGAGCTATTCCTCCTTAGTAGTCGAAACAAATACCACCAGAATTTTATCAAGATTTTACCTTTGCTCATCCTAAATTCAATCAAATTACTTGTGGTTGTATTTCTCGCAGTTTTCAATCCACCCTATCGAGCGCATAAATAAGTCGCCTTCAAAGTTCAATCATCATATTATTATCTTTGCCTTACAGTAACTACGTGCTTTCAATATTTTTCTACCAAGATGAGATGTAGGAATGAAGTTAGCTGACTTAAGTTCAATTTTTTACATAATAATTTACGTATGTACTTAGTTATGTCTAATAAAACAAATAATATCGAATATCAAACAATCGTGTAAAGTAATTGGCTGACTATGTGATGTGAACTAACTAATAATTCTCATTTTTGAAAAGTTTGGGGTAACTACAAAGTTCTGCTTAGGCCCGATTCGACCAAACTTTTATCCGAAAATAACTCCTGGTACACCTAATTGTTTCAGTATGGGAAATAATTATGTCAAAATGTCGAATAACTGACGATTTATTCTGAGGTTAATAATTTTACTTTTGTTTGGTCGAATCCACCCTTAATGAGTGAGATTTTTTACATTTCATTGGTCTGTCAAATTCTATTGATGACAAGTCTACGAGTACCTACCCAAAGTGATTTAGCCTCAAACCACAGTAGCTTCATAAATTACGTTTGCCGCTATTGCCGCTGAAAATTTTTCAGGATTCAAAACTTGACCAAATAATCATGACATTGAGTTTACGATGCCTTGTCGTCTAATAGGTTTACAAGAGACCAAACATATTGCAATTTAGTTTTATTTAATTTGTCTATTAAATAATTTGTACATTAAGTAATTAGTTACATTATAACCTACTCATATTCTTCTTATTAATTATGTTTAATTTTTTATAATATTCTTAATCAAGCAAAACAGAAAACTTTTAATTAATATTATTCTTCTTTTATTAGGTCTACAAGCAGTCAAATATCGCTGCGCGTCTTATTCCGTGGTTTCCTTTACATAATAATGTGGTATGTATTATTTTGTATTGCTAAAACGGTAAGGGTTCAAGGAATATCACAAAACAATTATGGAGATTTCAATGTGTTTATTGACTTAATAAATAGTTAAAATAGTATTTTTGTCTTCTCTTGAAGTCATTTAGAAAGGCCAAGCAGAGCCGGTTCTCAGTCCGTATATTCCAGTCCTGTAAACGACAAAATACGGTTATGGTCAAATTAAAATGACAATCAAAATAGGNAAAAAAAAACATACGGGTCGAATTGAGAAACTCCTTTTTTGAAGTCGGTTGAAAAATCATACATAGTACTATAGTTGGTATGGTACAGGGATCGAACTATCTTACTTAACATGAAAATACATTCTGAGAGCAAGTGAAAGGTTTCCTCTGTCCTAAAATATCTTACCCAGATTTGTTGATATTTGGGTTGCCCATGTTCAAGGCAGCGCCGTTGCAAGTGTTTAGTTCAGCTTCCCAAAGGTTGACGCAGCGTCTGCCCACGAAGTGGTTGGTTCTGACCGAAGACGCGAACAGTTCAGTGGCACGGCCGTGAGAGCAGCTAGTCTGGGTGACACCACCCCAGCAGCCAGGCTGAGGGTGTCTGCCACCGTTGGGGTAGAAGTCAGCGTGACCACTGACATCCATGAGACCCAAAGCGCGGCCGTCAGTGTGGATTGCCTCAACGTAGCGACCAGCGTTGGGTTGCAGGCGGTTGCCGTTTCCACCCCATAGGGGACCAGCAGGGTCCAGACCTGTAAAACAAAATTAAAAAAAAAATGATGACGTCATGACTGCATAATATGCAGTGCGCAATAGTAAATTCTAAATAATAGGTAACAGGATTAACAATCTCTGTAGATTGTTGGAACAATTTAGCAATCTGTATTGCTAAATTGTTCAAGTCTGAGCATAAGCTGTCGAGTTGGTAACCACCATTTAATATTACAAGAAAAAATTGTTGTATGAATTTTATAAATTGTTGATTTATATCATTAATACCTGTGACTCTCGAGATTCGGCCACCAGCCTGTCTTCCAGCGTTACCGACGACGTGAGCGCCCAAGCTGAAGCCGACCAAGTGCACGTTGTTCCAGTTGCCTCCGACGTTGTTGAACAGCCAAATGAGGAAGTTGCCGAGGTGTTGGCCGACACTGGGGACACCAGCGGCAGCGGTGTTGTAACTGGATCCGGCCAGAGCACGCCAGTCGACTACAATGACGTTGACGTCAGCCACGGCGAGGAAGGCGTCTCTGATGAGAGGGTTCATTTGGGTGTCCCCATTGTTGTTCCAGCCGTGTACAATGACGACCAGTCCGCGGGTGTTACGGTAGTTGGAGTTCCATACGCTGTTTATGTTGTTGTGGACCAGCACTTGTCTGGCGGTAGGGTTTTGCCTGTGAAAAAATAAATAGTAGTTGAGCTGAGCTAAAAACTCCAAATTCAAATTTTCTTGAGCATATTAGGTCCTTTTCAGAAAACCTGTCCCAAATATCACAGCTAATATAGCTTTCCGTAACACCACTTCGGCTCCAGCTGATCCAGTTAGTAATTCAATTCAATCACTAACTTTGCGCAATCTCAAGTTTGAAACTTGACGACTTTTTTACATACCTAGTGAACAGCCAGTACTGGTTGTTCGCACCATTCCTGGAGCTAAGGAGCGATTCATCAACTGGTTCTTTGAGGTCTACAAGCACTGGGTTGCCCTCACCGTCCGGCATCCACACGTAGCGGCTCTCGCCCTCCACATAGTCGCTGCTGTCCTCCGGAGTCAGAGGCAACGACTTTGCTGCACACACTGCAATTTAAAATTTTATTATTGCATGAATTTTATTGACTGATCATCAGTTGTATTATATTGTATGAATTAAAACAATTGGTAAATAATCAATATAAAAAAATGATGTTTGTAACCGTTGTTACAGAATATCAAGATGGTGGAAGAGGAGACATGACCAAAAAGGCACTTATCAATACTACTTACAGGCAGCAAGAGCTGCGAAAACTACGAACGCTTTCATGATTTGCTTCATCATTATGAAAACGATAAATCGAGAAGCTTATATACGAGAGTTTATCAACAAATCACTAAGTATATAAATAATTCGATTCAAATTAATCTGATTAAGTTATTTCAATAAACATTTTATGGAAAAAAATGTTTTGTACGTTTGTCTCGTTTACCTCTAATATTTTTCATCTCGGTTAAATAAATCATACGTCATCATCATCATCATCATCATTTCAACATATAGGACGTCCACTGCTGAACATAGGCCTCCCCCAATTATTTCTACAATGGCCGGTTGGTGGTGGTTAATCATGACAATATTTACCACGCTTAGATTCAATTGTGTCGACCAAGCTAATTGAGTACAGTTTACGAATCGATAAAATGATGAAACATCGGAGTGATGGATTGATTGACTGAAGGGTGGTCTGTCGTTACCATCTTTCAGTTCTAGAAAATAAAGTGAAGCTCATGGATGGCGCTACCAATTTTGGATTCTGACGCCACGGCGCCGCAACAGATGAAGGTGCCTCAGGGCTAGTACACAGGCTATCTCATGTTAGAGTTTGTTGTTTTATCAAAATACTACATAGGTAGTTATGACATCTTATTATCCACACAAAGATGGAATTTGATTAAAAAAAATGAATTTTCATAAAAAAGGTACAAAGAAAGATGCGGGAAAAGACTACATTAGTAAAATCGCAATATCATTTTGGAAGTCTGTGTGTGTAAGTTATTATTGTTTGTAGGAGGTAATCTACGAAATCAGTACTAGTCATTTGAAAACATAATTACAGATAAAATTAAATAGCACGCAGGTTGAACTTGGCACTGGGCGTGCATTTGATTGTACTGAAGTTTATCAAAATACGGAACCCTCGAAAAAAAACTTTATTTGTAGCAAAACCTTGATTATGTAATAGGTTGTGAGCGCTTCACTAGGGAATCCTTTGACCGGACGACAAGATTATACTTACTAGACATTAAAAAAAAGTTAAGAGGAAGAGCTCAATAACTTCTAATGTTTGAAGCTTATATTTAAATTCTTTTAATATTACATAGTATGTACTATGTACGCCCTTTTCAGGACCGAATGCTCTAAACGTCTAAAATATAGTATCTTACTCCACAACCAGCCACCACTTACTGGATAGCTTTCACTGACAGGACTCCGGCAGATGCCAGAGCAAACAGAAATCCTTTAAGTTCTTCATCAGTTCGTTCGTCTGTCTGTTTGTAATTATTTTATATGCTAGTGCGTCTCGTTGTTGTCACCACGGAATCTTAAAAACATACGAGTAGATTTGCAATGTTATCAAATCGCAATAGATTGTAATGCTACATTATCTGATACAGCACCACTGCCGCCGTATACAACAAATATATTGGTTGACAGCTAATCACTACTGATGAATGATCAATAAATTAAGCCCCAACAAAATAATCCGCAGATTTCATGGCTCGATGGCTTTGTTTTTTAGCGTTAAGCTACCGAACTCACATCAATAATATAAGTTGTTAAATAAGACCATGCTAGATGCGGGCAGCACAGGACCGGTCGTTTTGGAAATCCTTAGGGGAGAACCTCTGTCCAACAAGTGACGTCATTTGGCTGAAACGTACAAAAGGAACTGGAACAGTTCCAGCGCCTTCCTGCTTTATGATAAATTGTTTGTTTAATTAAAGCAATAATTAAACCAAAACGCATATTCTAAGGCTGAGTTGCACCACCTAACTTTATCGGTAATTATAACGGTAACGGGTGTTTTTATATGGATTTTGACAGATTTTTGACGTTTTTTAAAGTTAAAGTACGATGGTGCAACTCAGCCTAAGTCTTTGGATTTGAAGCTGAATCTATTCACCCTATAAGATGAAAATTAAATAAGCATCTCCTGGGCAGACATACCATCCTGAATGCATATTACTTGATAAGGTGTAGATGCAGCCTAATTCCTGCTTGTACTGCATAAAAAATATAAACCAAATGTCAAAGCAATTTAATCGATGAGTGCTTTCCACCAGTACTTTCCGAAAAATGGAACTTGACTAATATCAGTCACCTTTTGGGAAAATCGATACTTGGTATCTCATTAGAGACATAATCCTGATGATCTATTCAAAATGATAAGTAGATAGCTAGCTGTGACTGAAAGAAGAAGCAGGAGAGAGATTGTCGGTATCGTCGATCGTAATGAGACGAAAACATAAATATCCATCATGTATTGATTCTATTAACATTATAATATAGAACACGAAGTTGAAATAAAAACAAATATTGGTTGAGATACATTTATTAACGTGAGAAAATTACCAAAATATTAATTTTGTCTTCTTGATTGTGTGTAGCTGTTTAGAAAGGCCAAGTACCAGCGGTGGTCAGTCCATATAATCCAGATCTGTAAACAACACAAAATACTGAATGAACTAAGGTAGATAATGTTGTACCTAATTGACACACTAGTATAATCGAGAACTTATTAATATCCTGTAATACGACGATGATATTCGTCATTATTCACACAGCTCTTAGTGCTAGTCGCCAATAGGGCAGAAAAGTTATTGAATGGTGACCACGAGCAGCTTTGTTCAGCGTCAGTGGTCCATTTGGATGAAACGAACGAAACTTTATAAATTAACAATGCACTTGTAAAAATTTACTGACCCAGATTTGTTAAATATTCCGTTGCCCATGTTCATGGTAGCTCCGTTGCAAGTTTGACTCGTAGCTTCGGAGATGTTATTGCAGCGTCTTCCCAAGAAGCGGTTGGTCCTAACGGTGGACGCGAACAGATGTGGGGCTCGGCCGTGAGAGCAGATGCTGTGAGAGCAGCCTGGTTGTTCATTGGTACCGCCGTTGGGGTAGAAGTCAGCGTGACCGCTGGGGTTCAAGATACCCAACAGGCCACCGTCAGTGTGGATGGCTTCAACGTAGCGTCCAGCATTAGGCTGGAGGCGGTTGTTGTTGTTATGCCAAAGGAAACCAGCCGGGTCCAACCCTGGAAATAATAAGTTAAAACCTTACTTACTTACTAAACTTACTATAGTCGATATTATATGAGTTCAATTTGTACCTCTTAACAAAATATTTCTAAAATGACTAGGCTATTATCATGACCATTTAGTGTTCTAAGTTGCTTAGACTATTCATTTGCAATCGAATAACAAATGAAGTGACTCATGAGGGACCAATCAGAATCAAATATCAATACATGATTTTGGTATGAAAAATATTTGGTTACACGTAGGTCGTTAATAGTAAATAAAAGCCAGTAGGTACGTCGCTTAAACACAACAAAACATACTAATGTAACATAATAATAGACACAAAAAATAAGCATAACATTAATATTACCGGTGATTCTCGCGGGTTGACCACCAGCCTGGCGACCAGCATTGCCGACGACGTGAGCGCCCAAGCTGAAGCCGACCAAGTGCACGTTGTTCCAGTTGCCTCCGGCGTTGTTGATCAGCCAAACGAGGAAGTTGCCGAGGTGTTGCCCAACGCTGGGGACTCCAGCTACCGCGGTGGAGTACCAGTCGTTGGCGAGCACTCCCCAGTCTACTACGATGACATTGACGTCAGACACAGCGAGGAAGGCATCCCTGATGGCAGGGTTCATCTCATGGTTGCCGTCGCTGTTCCAACCGTGTACAACGACTACTGTTCCACGAGTGTTGCGGTAGTTGGAGTTCCATACACTGTTGATGTTGTTGTGGACCAGTACTTGCCTGGCGGTAGGGTTCTGCCTGTGCAACAAAAAGTTTTAAAAATAAAATAAAGAAATTAATTCTACGAGTACTTTTATATTTTTTCAGATGATAATTTTCAAATAAGGTGGACCACCCACAAGGTGGACCGATGACCTGATAAAGGTAGCGGGAAGGCCCTGGATGCAGGCCGCTACCAACCGTGCGATGTGGAAGTCATTGGGGGAGGCCTATGTTCAGCAGTGGACGTCCTGTGGCTGAAATGATGATGATGATGAATTTTCAAAGCAACATACCTAGTGAAGAGCCAGTACTGGTTGTTGGCGCCATTCCTGGTGTGGTCCTGGAGGGCCGCCTGGTTGACGGGCTGCTCGAGGTCTACGAGCACAGGTTGGCCCTTGCTGTCCGGCATCCACACGTAGCGAGTCTCGCCCTCCACATAGTGGCTGTTATCCCCAGGCACCAGCGGGACAGACTTTGCCGCCGCCACTGTATAATAAAATTTAAAATCATTTAAGTTATTAGTTAAGATAATATTCCCGAAACATTAATTTAATAATTAATTTGGAAATTCTTAAATAGTTCACCGATTACTTGATCATGCATTTATTATTTTAAAAAATAATGAATCTTCACAAAAAATCAACAATAATACTAACAAGCTGCGAGAGCTGCGATCACTACGAATACTTTCATGGTGGATGGAAGTAGGTAATGAAGCAAATAATTCAGCGAAAATCTTATATTTATGTACCAAATTGTTTATCAATCAATTACGAAATCTAATAATTAAATCATTAATGTTATCTAAAAAATCATAAAAACACTTTATCTTTCTTAGATATCTCTGTTCTTGTTTTATTTCATAGTTAAAATAATATTATTCGTCTGTCTGTTAATAAAACGCATTTTAAATATTGTCAAGGCGAGAGTGAATAGGCACTTACAGGCAGATATTTTATCTACCACCCTAGACTGCATCTCACTTAACACCAGGTGCGATTGCGGTCAAGTACCTGCCTTGTCATGCATAAAGAAAATAAAACTTAAAAGCTCACCACATACCTATATGCCTACATGTAATATAAATTCAATTAAAATAAGATTTTAAAACAAAAGTAAATTGGGATGTGGTAGATATAACAGTTGGATTTGACTGACAAAGAAACCATTTTTGGTGCGTAAATTGTTAGGAGTTCTACTTATTTCTCACGCGATAATCCATTGAAAATTTTCGTCTCAGAATCCGCATCTCATTTCGTAGAATTTAGGAGAGCGAAGCCGCGAGGCAGATTGTAATCAAAAAACTAAAACATTCTCAAAGTACGGTGTGATTGTAGGTAAGAGGTTTTTGGGAAATACCAATCGGATTTCGAATTCAGTCATGTTCAGGTTCAGTATCATTAGATTAGTTCTCTGTCCCTTATCTATCCGTTATCAGTAAAACGTAATTAGAGATACGTATTCATACTATTTCATATAGGTATATAAAACGTCAAAGTCTAAATAACTAGGTATTTAGCTTTCAATCATGATTACTTTACTAAGTGCTAAAATATTAGACAGATTTTAATCTACATTACATTTTATGAGAATAATTGAGTATTCGTCATCGTTGTTATGTGTTTGTTGAATCTAGTTTCATTATTTAATGATTCTATTTAGAAGTTAGAATATTTTGTCTGTCTGTTTAAAACGCATTTCAATATTAAATTAGGTACTCAAATTAAAATGTCATCACCATGTAATGCAATAAATACCTATTTATGGTTGTATACCTACTTGAAAATTGACACTGAATGTGATGAAAATTGGCAATAACAAACAACGATATCTTTTTCGATTCAGAGCAATCCATTGAGAATGTTCTGTCTGTAAACGCGTTTTAGTCTTATTCTGACAACGTAAGAGAGTGCAGCCGTGAGGCAGATTATAATAAAGATTAAAAAAATGAGGGTATGAGGTCTTTGGGAAATACCAATCGTATTTCGAATACATAGATGTTCAATATTATAGCCCCCTGTCAGCCCCCTTATCCGTTATCAGTAAGATATAATTAGAGAAACGTATCCATACAGGCCTAACCTTCTGTCGCAGATCAATATTCGTGCTCCCTCGCGTGGTATTCGTCTAGCTTCTTACATGCCCTTCGTTCAGAGAAATTCATCTTCGCGTCAGGGACTCCAGGCACCACTTAATAGGCTAGTGACTAATTATAATAAAGTACACAAACATGTCACAAACAACATGGGTTCGCTCAGTGACTCATCAAGCGAACTGATTAATGTGGATATATATTTTCAAGCAATATATCAAAATTCCGTAAAGGACTAATTTTGCTGCCTTGATTGTCTTTTCTAATTTATATATTTAACGCACTATAGTATGATCATAATTTAATTTCATAAAAGTATTTTTTGTGCAAAATTATTGTAAAATTACTAATTTATTGTTATTTAACTTATTTCAATTTAAAATTTACTAATGTTCTGTGCTACGTTAATTCAATTTCTTTTGTGTAACGCCTATAATTAAGATAGCACTTAACCTATTATATAAGCATGTATAATATTGTCTAAAATGGTGTATGTTTTGTTGGTGTTAATAAATAAATAAATAAATATAAACAATAGTGATCTAAAGCAAGGCTGCTCAACCTTTTGAAGAGTCGGGCCAAACGGTGGATTCAGGCGTCAACGACGAGCCACTTACATGACCTATTTCAGCTACACTCAGGACAAGCGTAATAAAAACCATGTGGCCCTCGGGCCTGGGGTGCCATGCCTAAATAGACAAACTTATTTGTACATTCCTATTTTGTTAATGTAGCAAATCGTCTTAAAGACATTTCAACCAAAATAAATATAAAATTTCAACAGTTTCAGAATACACAAAAGTCTCTCGTTGACTGCAATTAAAAAATGAAACAAGCAACTATTTAGTTTTTCAGTCATGTTTATTTCACAATATCCTACTAAAATATTGACATGAAAGTAATTCCAACGAAATATATTCTTGCTGATTCATATGATGAAGTCGTTTAGAAAGGCCAAGCAGCACCGGTAGTCAACGCGTATAATCCAGTTCTGTAAACAACAAACACAAACAGAATTATAGTTTCAGCCCTTCATGTACCTATTTACTTTTCTTCTGTTACAATTGATGTTGCAACCTTAATATTAGACTTTAAAAGTACAAGCATCTAACAAGTCACATGTGACTGACTCCACAAGTGACTCAGTTGGATCAAACACGATACGACTCAGTCTCATATTTCTTCTGTCTAAATCATCTGGGGTTGGAACCCAAAATAGCCAATTTAAGAGGATCTTACCCAGATTTATTGAATATTGCGTTCCCCATGTTCAAATTAGCGCCGCTACAATTATTATTTTGAGCTTCATTGATGTTGTTACAGCGTCTTCCCACGAATCGGTTGTTCCTGATCGTGGACGCAAACAGGTCAACGGCGCGACTGTGAGAGCAGTTACTGTTGCTACAGCCAGGCTGACGGTTCCTGCCGCCGTTGGGGTAGAAGTCAGCGTGACCGCTGGGGTTCATGATACCCAACAGGCCACCGTCAGTGTGAATGGCTTCAACGTAGCGTCCAGCATTAGGCTGGAGGCGGTTGCTGTTGCTATGCCAAAGGAAACCAGCCGGGTCCAACCCTGGAAATAATAATATAAAACCCTTAATCAATATTAGTTTCGTCAACTTACTATAGTCGATATTAAAGGAGTTCAATTTGTAAGCCTTTCATCAAAATATTTTGGTAGGTACCACCTATCTATGAATAGACTCTAAATATCATGACCATTTCAATGTTCTAAGTTGCTTAGATTCTTTATGTGCGATCGAATAATAAATAAGGTGACTCAAAAGGGAAAAGTCAGAATTTCAAATAGCAACATGATTTTGGTATCAAAAGGATTTGGTAACATAAATACGTAGTCATAGTAAATTAAAAAGCCAGCATGTCGTTTTTACACGACAAAACAATATGAATAGTCTTACTAATATTATAAATGCGAATGTTTGTATGGACGTCTGAATATTTGTTACTCTTTCACGCAAAAGCTACTGAACGGATTTTGATGAAACTTTACAGTATCTATTATTGTTGATAACCCCGAATTACATATAGGCTATAATTTATGACGAACTGTAATAAACTAAATTTCACGCGGGTGAAGCCGCGAGTGTATACTAAAAATAAGCATAACATTAAAATTATCAGTGATTCTCACGGGTTGACCACCTGTTCCTAAATCTGAATGAATAGACTAGGTACACAGCACATCAATATAAACAATATAATCTTGTAAAAAAGTTATTTGCTACTAGCGGCCGCCCGCGACTTCGTACGCGTGGATCCCGTTTTACCCCCTTCATCTATCTTACGCGGTTTAGATTTTTTCATAAAAATGTTTTTTCCCGCTAACTCCAGTTCCCGTGGGAATTTTGCAATATCCTGTTGTAACTTAGTTTTAAGTTTACTAAGATACCTGCATGCCAAATTGCAAGCGTCTAACTTAAGCGGTTTAGATTTTTCATACTAAAGGATTTTCCCGCTAATTACCGTTCCCCTGAGAATCCCTAAGTATACTATTACCTGCCCAGGAGTACGAAAAATAATTTCACAAAGTTTCGTTAAAATCCGTAGAGTACGTTTGGTTCTATAAGGAACATACAGACGGACAGACAGACAGACAAAAATTTTACTGATTGCATTTTTGGCATCAGTATCGATCACTAATCACCCCCTGATAGTTATTTTGAAAATATATTTCATTCAGACTAACGAACAGCAATTCATTTTTATTTATATACATTAAAACCAAAATCAGCTCAATCGGCCCAGCCGTTCTCGAGTTTTAATCAGACTAACGAACAGCAATTCATTTTTATTTATATGTATATATTACGTATATCTCTGACAGTACCTACTGTCATCTGCATTATTAGCTTATTTTTAAAAAATCCGTATCCATTATAATTTTGTTAAAGTTAGCTTTTTATAATACTGATATCATGAACATTACCAGTGACTCTCGAGGGTCTGCCACCAGTCTGGCGACCAGCATTGCCGACGGCGTGAGCGCCCAAGCTGAAGCCGACCAAGTGCACGTTGTTCCAGTTGCCTCCGGCGTTGTTGATCAGCCAAACGAGGAAGTTGCCTAGATGTTGTCCAACGCTGGGGACTCCAGACATGGCGGTGGTGTAGCCCTCGTTAGCGAGCATTCCCCAGTCGACCACAATGACGTTGACGTCAGCCACAGCGAGGAAGGCATCCCTGATGAGAGGGTTCATCCGATGATTGCCGTCGCTGTTCCAGCCGTGCACGATGACTGCCAATCCACGAGTGTTACGGTAGTTGGAATTCCATACACTGTTAATGTTATTGTGGACCAGCACTTGCCTGCTAGTAGGGTTCTGCCTGTGCAACAAAAAAGTTATGACTTGAATTTTTTACAAATGTTTGTAACAAAATTTTGTGTTAGCTCATTTACGCCCGTATTCACGAACGATACTTGCTTAAGTTAAGCAGCAAATCGAACGCACAGCGTTAAATAGAGTTATGTGATTGGTTTGTCGTGTGTCATCTTGTGCGTCCTTGCTAGGGTTCCCAAGCCCAACCCTCCCGGATTGCCCGGGAGACTCCGGAAATAATGGTTAACCTCCCGACCTACCGGAGAACAATATTTTCTCCGGTATTTCTAAAAATTAAATGCATCCATTGCTGCTCGTACTTGTTTATAAAGGACATCATCCACGTTTCATATATTTTTGGTCCAAAATCAAAAGTGCCGGCCAACAAAAAAAAGTGCTGTATTCTGACAGAATACGTATGCCTTAGCATTTGTTACTATGGCACCAAAGCCGTAGCTCCACTGTGCGTCGAGTATTTGAGATCTAAAAGTCATCGACTATTCATACATTTTTTGTTCAAAATCAAAAGTGTCGGCCAATAAAAAAAAAAGTGTTGTATTCTGACAGAATACGTCCGCCTTAGCATTTGTTACTATGGCACCAAAGCTGTAGCACCACTGTGCGTCGAGTATTTGAGATCTAAAATTCATCGACGATTCATACATTTTTTGTTCAAAATCAAAAATATTGGCCGATAAAAAAAAAGTGCTGTATTCTGACAGAATACGTCCGCCTAAGCATTTGTTACTATGACACCAAAGCTGTAGCACCACTGTGCGTCGTAGTATTTGAGATCAAAGTCAGTCGTTTCATATATTTTTAGAACTCAAATACCACGATGCACAGTGGTGCTACAGCTTTGGTGCCATACTAATAAATGCTAAGGCGGACGTATTCTATCAGAATACAGCACTTTTATTTTATGGCCGGCACTTTTGATTTTGGACCAAAATTGATGATGTCCTTTTATCTTTAAAAGAATCAATCACATGGACCAGCATTACTTAACTCCAGGAATTATTAAATATTGATATAGATAGTGACAAATTGTACGATGAGGTAGGACTTTTGCGTGAGGTGCATTTTTTTTAATTCAGGACAGAAATCCCTGTCCAGAATTTAAAAAAAATGGTCACGTTTGTTCTTTCCATTCCTGTCTCTGTTAATGCTTCATTCGAGCGCGTATTCAGCGTGATGTAGCAACTATGGAGCAAGCCCCCCCCCCCCACAATTCTCCCGGTCCTTTCGAGAGTTGGCAAGCCTAGTCCTTGCGCACTGTAAGACCTAATAGTAATGTTTGTGAATACGGGTGTTATTCTGGGATTTATGAACTTGTCATTGCAATCATGTTTGTTTATAAATGCTCCATGTGCCCCTAGGTAATTGAGAGAACGTGCTCAGGAACACAGGACTAAATTAGCTCATAATAATGATGGATGATGTATCTTTATCATATCTCCGTAGGGACTCTGGTTAATTTGAAACAAGATTTATTCAAACCAGATTACTAAAATTGTTGGAATTACCTCGTGAAGAGCCAGTACTGATTGTTGGCTCCATTCCTAGCGCTGTTGTCAAGGACCTGCTGATTGACGGGTTCCTCGAGGTCTACGAGCACTGGGTTGCCCTCGCCGTCCGGCATCCACACGTAGCGGCTCTCGCCCTCCACATAGTGGCTGTTGTCTCTCGGCACCAGAGGAACTGACTTTGCCACGGTCACTACATAACAATATTGAGTGGATGAAGTGTTTTTTTGAAATTTATTTAGTTGCAATTCTTAAAAATCTCAGTGGGCGCTTAGGTAGGTACATGACGTATCTTATTTATTATTTGTTATGATTGTTATGAATATTGCTACAGTCAGTTTAAATTAAATTACTGGCCAGACCTGTGCTTACCATGACATGAGTTTACGGTAGGCGTCCAGTATACAGGGTGGAATTTTGTAACGCCACCTGTCGGGAAAGTACTGTAAATACTGTCTATAGAAAAATTTACTGAAAGAAAACATTCCTTTATTTTTGAAAAGAAAGAGAACTGCATTCAAAGATTTTCGAAAATTTTTCGATAATTCTCTACCATACCATACAATTTCCTGTAACATAATTAAAATAATTTAAGATTACTTGGTTTTCCTTTCATTTGATTTATCAAGTTTGTTAGACAGATTTCATGCTTATATTAACCCTAACGATCGATGCAATATAAATGTAATTTTTAACAGATTTCTATTGGTTCGAATCCCGGGTGAGGCAAGCAAATTTTTGGAAATCTTTGAATGCAGTTCTATTTCTTTTCAAAAATAAAGGAATGTTTTCTTTGAGAAAAAAAATCTATCTACAATATTAAGAGTACTTTCCCTCCAGGTGGCATTACAAAATTCCACCCTGTATAATAGAAGTCTTTGGTAGGCGTGCTCGCTAGCGAGTGAGTAAAAGATTTTAGTTATTGAAAGAAGCCGCTAGGAGCGCTGTACAATTTGTCATACATTTAAATGTAATTTTTCTACGCAGTCGCTAGCGAGCACACCTAACGTAAAGTCACTGATTTAAAAAAAAATACGAACGATTTACTTGTAAAAGTGTAGTAAAAAGCTTCTTAATTATTTTAATTCAGAACTAGAGAAGAACCGAACTAGGTACACCACTTTTGTTATGTTTGACTATTATTCAAAATTCGACTAAGATATGGAAAAAATACACCAAAAATTATTAAAATAATACACTTACAAGCTACGAGGGCTGCGAATACTACGAATGCCTTCATTGTCGAGAAAGCAATAAATCAAATGATTCTATGAAAAGCTTATATATTACAGTTTTTATCAACATATATTTTTATGGAGAATCTTTACAAATATTTGATATGATAACATTATTTTTGTTGCATCAATCAACTATAAACGTATCACTCATTTTTTACAGTAGTTAAAATGGTACAAGTATGTCTGTTTATTTCTAAAAATAATGTAGGTCTGGAGATATAATTACTTATATACAAGTTGTGATTCCATGTTATTCGATGTGTACTCGTAGATATTGTATTTTTTTTAAGTGACAGGAGGCAAACGAGCAGACGCATCACCTGTACCTCTAGTACGAAAAACTTTCGAGTTCGTTTCGTTGCGTATTCAAAGTGTCATCGAAAAATTTTGTATGAAAAATTAAACAGCGCCCCCTAGGGCGGCTATAATATAGGGGGCGCTGTTTAATTTTGTATGAAAAATTAAACAGCGCCCCCTAGGGCGGCTATAATATAGGGGGCGCTGTTTAATTTTTCATACAAAATCTTTCGATGACACTTTGAATACGCAACGAAACGAACTCGAAAGTTTTTCCTACTAGAGGTACTGATGGTAAGTGATTACCGTCGCCCATAGACACCCGCAGACCCAGGGGCGTTACAGGTGCGTTGCCGGCCTTTAAGGTGAAGGGTAATGACACTTATTTCGAGTATTTCAAAGTAAGAAGCAACCAATAAGCTTTTGCATTGACTTACCTATTTCTGTTTAAAACACACGTCTAGAGATGTCTAACACAATACAGGGCTAGTCTCTACAATTCTATACGTACCTAGTTATAAAACAAAGTCACTCCCGTTGTCTGTTCGCTTAGATCTTTTAAACTACGCAACGGACTTTAATGCATATATATATAGGGTGATGGTAGAACAAGGTTTTTTAATGTAATAATCCATAGCACACGTGCGAAGCCAGGGCGGCTCGCTAGTTTGTAATTAAATCGATTTCTAATCAAAAGATGCTCAAAATCCTTTACACGTAGGTGTACGTATGAAACGTTAATCCGATTACGATTTGCAGAGATAATAAATAAATTAATGTTCAAAACACCTTTTATAAAGCAAACATAAAATAAAATTTAAATTCAATCAAACCTATCATTATAATACATTGCCCAATTTAAAATAATATAAAAGCTTGTTGATAAATTGATGGGTTTGCCTACTCAGTTTTTATTAACATGGAGGTTTGCAAGTTGGCTCGTTGGTACTATGTCCAAGAAGGTTTTACTTTATTTTTTTGTAGGTTGCCAGCACTGTGGTGGAAATGCGCGGGGCAGCGCACGCCGCTGATCTTCGCGGGAAAGCGAAACGTCATGTTTAGCACTTTTTTTTTTCTTTTTGTGTAATAATGGCGGATTATTAACCATTAATAAGGCCCAGTTTTTTGATTCATAGTTAAAATAACCAATAGTTAAGTTTGACAGATGTCAAATGACAATTGGTTAAATATCAGAAAAAAATGTTATTTGAACAATGGTTAGCTNGCTTAGCTCTCAGATCATAGAATTAGCTTGACTTTTAGTACATTTTTTAACTATTCGTTAACATTTTGTTAATATTTAACCATTAGTAGCAAAATTTAACAATTAGTTATTTTAACTATGAATCAAAAAACTGGGCCTGAACGTGCACGAGTGTAGGCAAATTAAATAAAACAGTGCGATAACACTCCAAGTTCTCTCAAGAAATCCACATGAGGTCTCATTCATTTAGCAAGCATTTTTTATGAAAGTACTAATAGAGTAGTAGAAAATGGCAATGCCAGAATTTGTATGGAAGGTGGCGTCTTTTATTTTTCGCGCGGCCATCGACCAAACCTAATTTTTTTATATAAAATAGTATAATAAACCAAAATTTCTATGACATGTATACCTCTAATCTCAGTCTGAACTGAGTTACGAGCATTAGAAGTTTGATGATTTTACATACCTACTAGTTTTGCTTTCTGTGCGCAAATTTTGTAAGAAATTGCAACAAAATAGTGACATTGTATGTGTAAACAAACAATACCATCCATTATCTAGGCTCCAGCCATCAGTGTGGAGCAGAATCAGCGCAATAAAAAAAAGACGTCACCATTTTGTTGCAATTTCTTACAAAACTTGCGCGCAAAAAGCAAATCTACGTAGTAGGTACCTATGTAAAATCATCAAACTTCTAATGCTCGCAACTCAGTTTAGAGGTATACATGTCATAGTTAGTTTGGTTTATTACACTATTTTGTAACCAAAAAACATGGTTTGGTCGATGGCCGGGCGAAAAAATAAGACGCCAATTTCCGGCAATGTCTTTTATCCACGAATCCAATAATATGTGTGGTATTATGAAACGGGAAATTGATTCTATTAACTTTATATTGCACACTAATAAATTTTATTAAAACTGGCTAAATCTGTAAATCGCACAAAGCCTCTTCATTGTATGTAGTAAGTAGATAAGTTTATGTGAGTACCTACCTCAGTCGTACAACAAAAACAATGTTATTCATTTTCTATTTGCAGTTTTTCTTTTTTTAAGATTATTAGCAATTTGTATTGCCCAAATTACTAATAGTCCCTTTAGCCCCTCCTGGTAAGCTAAATAAGCTTGTGTTACGAGTGGGCTCACCACAATAGTCGAGCGACGGTGGGTTTCGAACCCGTTTCCTCGGATCTCGAGTCGGCCTCCCCGACCCTATCACCGTTCGGCTATCGTGGCTATATTGTTAATGTATATACATATATGTGTATAATGTTGCAGGTAATTAACAATACTCAATAGAAAAACAAAGACGATTGTGTGTTTCAGCTTTATTGACGCAAAAGGATCTCCTCCAAAATACATTAATGTTGACATCTTGATCATACACGGTTGGTTAGATGACTTAGAAAGGCCAAGTACTGCCAGTTATGAGTGAGTATAATCCAGTCCTGTAAAGAATAAATACGATTACAAACTGTAATTTTTCGTTCTTCATTTGTTCTTCATAGCCTGGGCCACGGAATAGACGGATTTTTTTTTTTAAGTTAGACCTATCAGATTACGAGTTATGATTTTTTGAAAACTTACATTTTCTATTTAACAAAATATAATTGCTAGGTTATTTACATTACATCGCCACATGGGCACTTTAACAACAAATAACTTACAGTATTTTGATGACAAAGGTTCAAATTGATAACCTACTTATTCAAATAGCTCCATCTTACCCAGATTTGTTGATTAATGCGTTTCCCATGTTCAGGGCAGCGCCGTTGCAAGTTGCCAGTTGGGCTTCCCAAATGTTGACGCAGCGTCTCCCTACGAAGCGGTTCTGTCTGACAGATGACGCAAAAAATTGGTAGGCACGGCCATGAGAGCAATTAATGTCTCCTCCGCAACCTGGCTGCCTCCTGCCACCATTGGGGTAGAAATCAGCGTGGCCGCTGGGGTCGTTGATTCCCAAGACTGCGCCTTCGGTGTGAATGGCTTCAACGTAGCGTCCAGCGTTGGGTTGTAGACGGTTTGCGTTGTTGTGCCAACGGTAGCCAGCGGGGTCCAATCCTGGTAAACGAAACCAATCTCATAGTTGCAACTGTTTCATAAAAGAAGTAAATTAAATAGATTCCTGAATCTGAATGAAGACTACAGCACATCAATATAAACAATTTATGATATCTCGTAAAAAAGCTGTTTGCTATTATATCTCTGACAGTACCTACTGCCATCTGCACTAATAGCTTATTTTCAAAGATTCCGTATCCATAATATTTTTGTGAAAGTTAACAACTCTTTATAATACTAATATCATGAATATTACCAGTGACCCTCGAGGGTCTGCCACCAGTCTGGCGACCAGCATTGCCGACGGCGTGAGCGCCCAAGCTGAAGCCGACCAAGTGCACGTTGTTAAAGTTGCCTCCGGCATTGTTGATCAGCCAAACTAGGAAGTTGCCGATATGTTGGCCGACGTTGGGTACACCAGCGGCGGCAGTAGAGTACCCCTGGTTAGCGAGAGCGTTCCAGTCAACTACAATAACGTTGACGTCAGCCACGGCGAGGAAGGCGTCCCTGACCATAATATTGACTGGAGCATTGGCGTTGCCGTTCCAGCCGTGCACGATGACGACCAGCCCGCGTGTGTTGCGGTAGTTGGAGTTGTGTACGCTGTTGACGTTGTTGTGGACCAGCACTTGTGCAGCGGTCGGGTTCTGCCTATGAGAAAAAAAGTTTAAAAATGAAGCTGAAGAAATGTATTATGTTATTCTTAACTGAAAATATAAATTGACGGCATATGTGGATACCTGGTGAAGAGCCTGTACTGGTTGTTGGCGCCGTTCCTGGTGGGGTCCGCGAGGACCGCGTGGTCGACGGGCTCCTCGAGGTCTACGAGCACTGGGTTGCCCTCGCCGTCCGGCATCCACACGTAGCGGCTCTCGCCCTCCACATAGTGGCTGTTGTCTCTCGGCACCAGAGGGATTGCCGCGGCCACTGCATATTTTTATATTTTATTTTAAAATATTAAAAAATACTGGGTAAACGCAAATTAAAAATCTTTAATACATTCAAAAATAGTCCGTATTCAGAAATTAAAAATCTTTACTAGTTATATAAATAAAAGAAACAACATTTTTAGAGTACTAAGCTAATAAATTAAAATACAATAAACAACAACTTGAGTAAAACCACATTTTGTGATCAAACGATCGTAAATCGCTAATACGCTAATCGTAACAAATGATGGAAAATGGGCAAACGTCCAAATGGACACACTAACACTTTTATTAAAAACTAAAAAATCACAAAATTCACAAATAAAATCATAAAGAATACTAACAAGCTACGAGAGCTACGAACGCTACGATAACTTTCATGGTTGAGCAATGACCAAAATGGATCAGTGAAAGCTTATATAAGTGTTTATCACTAATTACGGAATATAAACAACTAGTTGTTAGATCAATATCTGATTTATAAACATCAATCATTTTCTAATCAATCGCCGCACGTGTATAAAAATAAAGTTTGTAGATATATGCGTTTGTTAAAGGTATGTCTGACGCAACTGACAAAGCTATCATGATATTTCATATTACCAGAGAGTGTACTGAAGTCGCTATCCTTATAGGTGGGATGTGACAAAGCCTATAAAAATAACAACCTGCAATGGTTAACTGAGAAATACTTAAATGTCTTATTTTGACAAAAAGTCATTTACGCGATAGGTGCCACGGGATAGCGCTAGTTTTTGAATATGATATTAGGTACCTAAATCGTTTGCAAGTATAAGGCTGCGTTTTGACTAAAGATGTCCGAGATTGCTGAGCAGTGCGGTTAGTAATACCTTGCAAAGCTATGAACATAATATTTTGACGGCCGTTTGGTGAAGTTACTTGCTTACCGCAATACTGTCATCCAGAGGTTGCGGATTCGAACCCCTAAAAAACACTACGAGTAAAAAGTACTAAATAGTTCTTTCCTACTCGACAGTTTTCTACGCTCTCTTTTACGTGTTGTTTTCCCTCCAAAATAGCTTCTGCTGCTGTGATCCATGAGACAAATACGACCCAGTGAGTGACTTCAACACCATGCTGTGAGCTGAGAAAACAATCACATCCAAGTGGAAACACAGCCTTAGTGTTGTGTTGACAAGAGTGTAATGATTTGCCCGATTTTATTGATAACTTTGGAAATTCTAATCCGATTTTTGATAATATTGTGTTGACACACCCATACATAGTACTTGTTTANCTTTGATGTGGTCAATTAGTGTGAGTAATGGGCAATGACTGTACTTTTTGGAGGATTTTAAATTTATTTCAATATTTTCTAAGTTACGTAAGTTTTAACTAAAAACTGTTAATATTCTGTTTAACAGTTTATTGAGTTATAAGAAAAAAGTCATAAATGGTCGATAATTAAAATACTTTCTTTAATTTTTCATCTCAATGTGTTTGAAATCTTTAAGTGGGCAATAGCTATACGGTTTACCCTACTTGTTTATCGGTTATTAATCAGCAACAGATTTAAAAAGATAATATTTTTTCGAATATAAATACCTGTTACCTTAAGTGCAAGATTAATTTACGTTTCTACGCCTCAGCCTCACCTTCGAATAGTTTATGAAATTTCATTAACAAGCTATACTAGACTATGAAATGATAATTATTTCTGTTACTTCTTTATTCGGTATACAAAATTAAATTCTTTCTCTGAAATGATCTTTCATTTACAATATACATATTATTGAGCATAACGGTGAATCTCTTGCCCTGCAGGCTGCATCTCATCTGTGTGCCTACCATGAGTTTACGTTAGGTGAGCTCGCTAGCGAATACGTCAAAAAATTCTATGAAGATTTTATTTCTTGAAAGTAGCCGCTAGGGGCGCTGCACAATATGTCATACATTTAAATATCATTTTTTTACGCAGTCGCTAACGAGCACAACTAACGTAAACTCATGGTAGGCACACTGATGGAATTTTCCTAATTTCCTACGTTCATCTTTCATCGTTTGGTAGAACTCGTGAAGAATTTTTAGGATCAGTAATTAGTTTTACGATATCTCGTATAGTTTTTAATATTGTGTGGCTGTACTAAATGTATGGATACTAGAAACGTTGAATTTTCCGATAGGTAGATCCTTATTTTATTATCATCATTATGAAATTATGAAATCTATGAAAATAATTTATTAATATTATAAGCTGTAATCCGATTACGTTTTGTCCGTGTACCGTTTGACAACGCTAGCTGTGGAATGGTGCGAGCCTCGTGGGGGGCAAAGAATATAATAATAAGTATAAAATTGTGTGATAATCACGGCGGGTGTCATCAAAGTTTATAATGTAAGCACACAGTACTTAAACTAGTCGTCATAGTAAACACAAAGTCTACTTAGGCTGTGTTGCACCACCTAACTTTAACCGTAATTATAACGATAACCAGTGTTGATCGTAATAACCGATGTTGAACCAGGCGCGCATCATGAACCCCTCCGGTCACGTGGACTTTTACCCCAATGATGGTGGGCGTCCTCAGCCGGGCTGCGGAAACAACCGAGTGAATAATGACAGCCAGTTCGATGACAGAGGAGCTATCGGCCACATCAGCTGCTCGCACAGTCGGGCGTAAAGAGATTAAAAGATTTATTATTAGCAATCGCAGTATTTAGGTACGTGAATCACATCAGCTATCTTGTAACTTACCTATTCAAATACGATTAGAAAGACTAAGCGGACTTGGCTTGATTATAAAAAAATACAATAAGCACATTAATTTCATTTGTCTGAAACTAAATAATACTGCTACCTAAAAAAATATCCGTATCAACTGTACCTTTTGTTTAACTGTTTTCATAATATTTCTTTTATATTTCAGAGCTTCTGGTCTGTATGCACTGAGGACTGACAACTCATGGCCTTTCTAGGACAATATTTTAAAGATACCTACAACTGAAAATCACAATACGACATTAAAGGGCAACTTTATCGAATCTTGTTTTTTTGTACCTACACTACTTGCCCCTGAGATTACCTACATCATCAGTCAATAGGAGTACGCAATCCCATTTCCCATAAATACAAAATTAAGAAGTCATTCATTTCGTAGCTTTAAGGTGACTAAAAAAATACCAGGGAAAGGCAGTATGAATTGCATAACCGTTTGAGTGCCTACCTATCTCAGTAAACGACTACATAAACAGCTCAGCGTTCGTTCGTTTCAGCCGAAAGACGTCCACTGCTGGACAAAGGCCTCCCCCAAGGATTTCCACAAAGACCGGTCCTGCGCCGCTCGCATCCAGTTCTTGGAAAGTAATCCTTGATAGTTAATCTCATAATTCTTATTGAACAACATAATCGGCCTCACCTCCCAAGTTTGGTAGAAAATCGCTGATTTCAGCTTGGATACTCGTAATCATAGCTTTCACAAAGGTAATTCTAGATTCTAAAACTCTATTTTTACGAAGATTTTAATCCACTTCTTGAGAAATCCGTTCGTACAGAGACTTGAAAAAGCTTCTCATCCTTATCCTTCAATGCAATTAGCTAAAAGAGTCATTATGTATCATTAAAGAAAAGAAAAATGTATTTCCCTAATATGCAATGATGGCAATGATGGCCTCGTAACGTTAAGTGTTCTATTAGTTCTATTGCTATTAGTATATAATTACGTAATTATTATCTTTGCACCATACAATTTTTGCTGCGGGACGCTAAAACACACCATATCGCAATTTGATTAGAGAGTTTTTAATTATTTATGTAGATAATAAACTAATAAATTATCTAGAATCTTTATTTTAGGAGTAATTAATTATAGTTGCCTACATATTATACCTAATTAGTGGTGATAATGCACAAACCCTTTTTGGATTGCTCTCACTGAAATCATACAAAAAGTTACCTTTACCTTACTTTGAAATAGCTTACGAAATTGGAATATTTTTTATGTAATGTTTGTAATGTATGTTAAGCTTGAGCAGACTCTACATATTATTATGTAAACTATTGCATATAACTTAACACGTTGAGTGCGAAACCAGGTCTATAGACCTTGTGTACGTCTCGCTTACCGTGCGGCTAAGAAAATTATAGTCTTCCTTGTCGTGCGAAAGGCATAACTTCAATTGGGTCCGGTGTAGGAAAGTGATGAATATATATCTATGATGTATTCTTAAAATAGAATCCAATGATGTACCTACCTTAATACCAGGTTTTTAGACCTGGTACCGCACGGAAGTAATAAAATGTCTTCACAATGCGAAACCAGGTCGAAGCACCTTGTACCCTGCGCACCTGGTACCGCACCCCACGCTAGCTTCGTGCAGCCAGTGTTGCCTCGCATTCGTAAGAAACGCACATGTCGACATGGCGTCAAGAGAAACAAACAAAATCAAAACTGCAAATTGATTTTAATATAATTTGCTACACGATTGCTAATTTAAATAATGTTTTTCGTGACAAACATTTGAAGTTGTAACTAAATGTTATTAAATAATATGTTTTCTTTAAATATAGCTTATTTAANAAATTTGGCATAGAGATAGTTTGAGTCCCGGGAAAGAACATACGATAGTTTTTATCCCGGTTTTTGAAACAGGGACGCGCGCGATAAAGTTTTTCTGTGACAGACAAAATTCCACGCGGGCGAAGCCGCGGGCGGAAAGCTAGTAACAAATAATATTTATTACAAATAATGGTTATGTGAAATATTATTTATATTAAACAAAATTACATCAAATGAGTCTTAGATTAAGTAAGGTTTATATCAAATGTCTTTATGCGTAGTGATTGGTATCTGAAATAAAATTATTAGAAATGATGTATTATGTGAAGTAAAATTTTTTAACATATACAAAGTATATGTTAAAAAATTATATCAAGTGTTATTATAACATACGTTTATTATACAATATGAACGTTATTGAAATGAATTTATATCATATAAACTTATATAAACTGTCACGCACCCGTCTCACTGAATATGTATTATAAATAGTTGTAAAAAGTTATAAGAATGAAATCCGCTTGCAATTGATTTTTGTAGGTATCTACCGAAACAGTGCTCAACTCTGAGGCGAACTAAATTACATCTTATTTTTGGCGACATTGAGTAGACATTTCTTTGAATACCTTTGCTATGAAATATGTGCCTGTACATAAAGTTCTTTTTTGTCTGAACAGGTACAGCCTATGCGAAATGAGCGTGTGCTGGAATATGTACGGCGGGAATGACTTCAAGTCAGCTAACGACCCGACCCCGCCCAAGAAGACGGTCACTATCGACGACCCTAGGAAACAAGGCTCTCCGACTACTGCCAAGTAAGTAATCACTACAAGGACTAAGAATTTTCTAAATCATGCCACTGATTGCTCCGCCTCTCAATAAAAAATGAGACTCTTAAATAAGTTTATTATTTTAATGAATATTTAAATTGATTAAATAGGCAATGGTTTACCCATAATTAAAATGGTGTTTTTAAAGCGTTAGTAGTAATGGGCCCACTTTTCTTGACGGTCTGTCCAGTTTTTCTCACGCCCATATTATAATTTTTCATTTTCGTTTTTCGATTGGGTTGGTTTGAACTTCCCTAACCCTAACCAAAGTGCCATCCATTACACTTCTCATTTTCAAATTACTATATTTGTACCTAGGCGTAACAAAGACTACGAGCCGTACGAAAGCCCCCGGGGGCTAAGCGGCGGCGTCAGCTGGGCCAACGGCAGCGAGCGAGCGCGCGCGCACACTAGGACTCCGCCCCGGCGCGACCTGCGTACGCGCGGAGGCCCAGGCCGCGACCCGCACACTTGCGTCAAGCTCTGCCTCACTAAGGTGCGTATTAACCATTGAACTAGGCGTAACAAAGACTGCGAGCCTTACAAAAGCCCCCGGGGGCTAAGCGACGGCCTCAGCTGGGCCAACGGCAGATGATAATGATGATTTAAGCTGTCTGAAAAATTTCATTATTTATTTCTGAATGCCAACAATTCGTGCTACCAAACTTTCGCTCCTTCATATTTTTTGCCTCTCATAATGATAAAGTGCGCTTTAACAAATACATGCAGCTGTGTGGAAAGTGTGAATATGGACTCAATTCGGTATAATTTTCGATTTGCACGCACTATCGGCCGCAGTTCCAGCTACCCATTTCCGTTTTTTCTCTCACCCATCAAAATGGATAACTGGAACAGTACAGTGTCATTTATGAGTATAATAATATTATTTACTTATTTGTTCAGGTCAAGTTCCAACACGAAGTGTACCCATCTGGCGGCATGCACGCGTCTCGGCAGACGCTCGCCATAAGCAAGATAGAAGTGCTGGACCGACTGGTCTGCAGCGACATCAACAAGCTGCTCAGCCAGTACAAACTCAAAGACGAACCAGAGCGGAAGAATGCGCATATGGTAAGAATGATTAGATTTTTGTGATAGAAAATAAAATGTGTATATTTAAAGATTTTGTTTATAATAATCAGGACTGAATCTCTTCGTTTCCAAATGGGTTGTCATCAATTTGTTCATTTCTTTTTATTCCATCAACAAAATTTTGATTTATTGTGTGACGTCAACGTAAAAAGAAATCAAGACATAGAAACAAATATTTTATGTAAAACTTTTAACTATAAACCTGTTTATATGTGAATCTAGCGCAATAAGATAATAATTGAATGTACAATTACTATTTTCTTGAGTCTTTTTGACTGCACAAATTCACGAGTACCAATATCTCTTCCAGTTGGTAGTAAAAGCAGTCCACTTGCGGCCCGACCCGGCGCTGACTGCACAGGAGTGCTGCTTAAAAGTGTCGCTGCTACCGCTGCGGTTCAACCTGGACCAAGACACGCTAGCGTTCCTTGTGGGATTCTTCTCCAAACTTGGCACTGATGAGGCTACAGGTATGTGCCGTTTTGAGAGCCTTCGGACTCTTTCTCCAAAGGCTGTACCCTAAAACTTGCGAGAACTTGCGGCTTTAGTTGTACCAATAGCCGTGCGCCCGCGCCGCGCGTGCCGAAACACCGTATCACGTGACTACCCCACACTGAGCTGCAGCTTCTCAGCTGCTCATACTATTTTTCAATACAGGCGTGCGTGCGCTCGTGCAAGTTTTAGCGTCGGCCCTTAAAGTTTTCATTTCATTGTTTTTCATTTTAAAATTGTGTTTAACACTATATCTCATATCGATAGCCCAATAAATATATAAAAAAAACATTTCCACCACCTCTATTTTAAAGTGACATTTCCATACATTAAGAGCGTTTACGTCTAGCGTGGCATGTCAAGTTTAGGTAATTTCGATGCTAGTTTTATTCACACTAAAATAATTATGACTGTGTGCGTGTTCTCACGCTCTATAGTCAAATCAAAATACTTTGATCCACCATCGTAAAAGTATGCCAGGCTGTCAAGTGACAGTCCTAATCAATAATAAATACGTAAATTCTTTATCAAATAGTAAATTATCAAAGGTTTTTTACTATTTTGAGAATATTTTATACAGCCTATGTTCAGCAGAAAAATTTTTGAATTTTAATTGTGAGAGATTTTTTCAAATCGGTTCTATTCAAAACAAACTTTTCCTGTTTACTATTCTGTCTTATTTGTAAAATATTTAGACTAAATTATTAAAACATCTTTGTTTGTTACTTTTTTAAATTTTTATTAAAACTTAATTTAAACTATCGATATTTGTATTTCACATCCCTAGAATACCCACCAGACTTCCCTATTCAGTGCGGCACAGGGTGCATAAGCCTTGTATTTTAAATATAGCTATAATTTTTATACTAAACAAGTTATTCACGAACGCCTTCAGGTGTATGTCAATAAATGCATTATTATTAATATTCAAAGAAATAAAACACAATATCTATTAACATGAAGCCAAAAATAAAATCAATATATCTTAAATATTACAAGGTAAATATTACAGCTTTCTGCCCCGTACAACCAAACTGTGGAATGGACTGTCGTCTGCGGTGTTTCCGGACGGATACGACCTGCAAGCTTTCAAGAGGAGAGCGTATCTTTACCTTAAAGGCCGGCAACGCACCTGTAACGCCCCTGGGTCTGCGGGTGTCTATGGGCGACGGTAATCACTTACCATCAGGTGATCCGTTTGCTCGTTTGCCTCCTATCACATAAAAAAAAAAAGGTCTTTAAGCCTTGTGCAGCCACAATGTAAGTTTTAATACCAGGTTTACTGACCTTGTACCGAAGGAATGGAAAGTATTAGAAAGTTACTGCCGCAGCAAAGGTGTTAAAATATGTAAATTAATTACTATCTCTATTATTAACTGCGGATCCATAAAAAGTATGCAGTTATTAACTTGAAATGAAGAAATATTACTTGATAATTACATAATAACACCCTTGATATTGAAACTAACACTTGCAAAAGTGAAAGAAGTGTCGAAGGAAGTATTAAAAGACGAGAATATAATTCGAAGTTAAAAGAAGAAACATGGACCCCACTAAACAATCATACGCTTTCAATACTACTGTTACTCTTTGGATAATATTTGGGTTATGGTCAAACAAATCATCCAACAAATTCTATAAATGGTATTGCTTCGTTTTCGTAACTTTGACTACGGCGTTACACTTCGTTTTTTACACATTGAATTTGATATACACCCCACGAAAGATAGAAATATTCGCGACACAGGCCGTGTACTACTTTTCTTCAGTTTCTGGACTGTTCAAAATCGGCACGGTCCTCACAAAACAGCAAGAAATTTTATCCACGTTTGAAATTATTGACTGCAAGGAATTTCTTGGCAACTGTTCTGAAACTAAGAAATATCTTCAACAATTTAGAAGAACATATTTTCGATATTTTCGACTGTATTTAACGTTCTGTATGTGTTGTGCTGTCGTATTTCTTTGTGGTTTGCCCTTAGTGAACTACTTCTTCCGACATGAGGACCTGAAACTACCTGTATGCGAATATTATTTCCTGACCGACGAAGTCCGAAAGAACTATATTTTCTACTGGTTCGACTACCAAATACTGGGCCTTATTGTAACAATCGTGTATAATTCTACTACTCACACGTTTCTGTGTGGGTTAATATTAATGGGAATAACTCAGTTTAAAATACTGAATTTTAATATCGCTAGTATTCGACTTGATGAAGACATTGAGATCAATAATCAAGAAGAAAGGGAGCAAGCGTTAATTAATAAACTTAACCAATGTTTGAAACACTACGACATCATCCTTAAGTAAGTGATTAACTTCTAAATACATAGGCTTATTGTTTACATCTCCTGGAGATGGCTACAACTGCTTTTCTATTATTTTCTTTTCTCGTTGTTACAGGTATTGTGAAAATGTTCAAAATATAGCAGACGTCTTTTTCTTTGTACAATTCAGTTTGGCGGCCATAACCATATGTTTCTGCATGTACATGCTTATTTTGGTACCAACTTGTTTTTAGAGTTCTGTAGTGAATCACGTTATTATTTCCTTGGTCTATTTAGTGAAACTTATTTCCAACATCTCCTTCTTTTTTCAGGATTTAAGTGACAAGGACAAGGTTTTCACAACATGTTTCATAAGCGCCATGCTACTAGAAAATTACACGCCTTCCTTTTTAGGAAGTCATCTTACGGCCGAGGTATCTTTTGCATATTATAAAATACATTAATCCTTATTGCTAGTATGTCTGTGAATTGTCAATCATTTATTGTTTTTCACAGAGCGATAATCTGCGAATTGCAGCGTACAGTTGCAATTGGACACCTCGCTCGCACTCCTTCAAAAAAAGTCTCATATTGCTTATGGAACGAGCACACAGGCCTGTGGTTATCGTTGCCCTTAAAATGGTGCCCATAAATTTAGAAACCTTTGCTTCGGTAAGATTCTTTTTACGCTTTCTCATGAAATATGCTTTAAATTTTTTAAATGTCTACCCTGTAATTGTGTTTTTCAGATGGTAAAAACGGCCTACTCATTCTTCACTCTGCTAAGTGGCGCACAAGAATAAATTCAAGAAAAGTATTCTATAGAAAAATATTTGGATGATACCTATTTTGCACACTACTATTATATTTTTCACGTACACTAGTAAACTTAATAGAAGATGCTACAAATATCAGTAATTAGTTATTAACCAAAATAACAGATAAAATATTCTAAAATAGTTATAATTTATGTTAATACTTATTGTCCTATTCAAGATTCATTTTGTGATAGCATAACACAATCTGATGTATTATGTTATTGATAAATAATGATAAAGTAATTAATAAATCAGTCAGTTCAGATTATTCAGATAGGTAATCAGTCATTACGTAATAATTAAAAAAATATTTTACAATTTAAATAAATGGTTGCGTACCTCTAGATGAGATAATTATGGTAGAGTTTGAAGTTTGCCCAGTGATAATAATATCCCATCAAAAACAATACTTGTCAAAAAAACCAAGTCTCGCAACTCAGTTGTTCTACGGTAAAAAGTTGTGAGATCCATGTTATTACCAAGTCCAGGCCAGGAAATCTTTAACGTTTTACATAAATTACTGACTTGGCCATCGCACTAAATAATTTAATTTACACGTGTTTTCATGCGATGACCAAGTCAATATATTTATGTAAAACGTTAAAGATTTCCTGGCCTGGACTTGGTAATACATGGATCTCATAACTTTTTACCGTAGAACAACTGAGTTGCGAGACTTGGTTTTTTTGACAAGTATTGTTTTTGATGGGATCTCATTTCTTTTTGTATTTTGTAGACAGCAGTTATGTATCTAGAAAACTGGACCGAAATTGAAAAATTTTACTCGACTTGGCGGTTGCACTACCGTGCCCCCAAAT